TCACAGCGGCTTTTGTTACCCTTTAAGCTCAGCAATGGCGGCCCCCTCCCCAGCGCCCGCTTGCTCTGCCTTGCCAGGTAGATCACAGACTGCACTGTGCTAGCAATGAGGGAGGCTCCGTGGGTGTGGCCCTCCGGCACGGATGGTGTGGGATATGATCTACCTGGTGTGCCTGTTGCTGTAAAGCCGCAGTAATTGGGGTGGGGTTACCCGATTTCCAGGTGTTGTGTGTCTCCGTTCCCCTGGCTAGGAAAAAGGAGTTCCCTGCCCTTGCCTTTCCAGGTGAGGCAATGCCTCGCCCTGCTTCAGCGTCTCCGCTGGTCGGGGCTGCAGCAGCTGACCAGCACGATCCTCCCGCACTCCCCAGTGAGATGAACCCAGTACCTCAGTTGAAAATGCAGAAATCACCGGTCTTCTGTGTCGCTCGCGCTGGGAGTTGGAGACTGGAGCTGTTCCTATTCGGCCATCTTGCTCCACCCTGCTTATTGCATTTCTTTAAGATTATTATTTTACATTCTTTTTCTGGCATTTTGTATATTTTCTTATGATTGCGACCTGTTACTGGTGATTTACTATGTTCCTTTGGAGGTTTCATGTTTGCTTGCTTTTTCATGTTTGATGTGTCCCTTCATTGATTTCTATGCATCTTGAAAAACAATCACCTTTCCAACTTTATGGAGTAGCTTTCATAAGGAAAGACTTATTCATAGGTATGGGTTTTACAGTGTCAGTCATTGGGTGCATGGACTTGATTCTAGATGGATACAGTAGTGTAGTCTCCATGTAGTTTCTTCAGTTGTAATCCGTGCTGGTGACATTTGCAAATGTCTCAGCAGCCTAGGCCGTGAGAGTTTGTGAAGGCAATGGTGCAACTTTGCTGGAGGTGGGCTCACCAGGCTGTTTCTCATGTCAGGGGCATGTGCATGCATACAGTGAATCAGCCAACTCGGGATCTGGCTCACTTGATTTGGAGCCATAGGGCTACTACTCTAGCTGGGGGCATAGGCATACAGTTACTCGGCTGGCCTGGTTGTGTGTCTGCCAGGGTTGCCCATGGGATTGTTTCTTAGGCCCTTAGCACAGGCACAGAGTCATTAGGCAGACCTGGGGCATGTCTGCAGCATGGGGGATGCACCACAGGGCAGTTTCTTAGGTCCATGAGGTAAACACAATGCTTCTTGGCCAGCCTGGGAGTGTGCCCACCAGCGGTGACCCATAAGGCTGTTTCTCAAGCCTGAGATATGGGTGCATGGCTGTTCAGCTGGCCTGAAGGGGTTGTGTCTGCCAGGGGCAACCCACGGAGCTATTTTTCAGGCTTAGGATGCAGGCAAAGGTTTGCTTGGCTAGCCTAGGGGTGTGTGTTTCAGGGGTAACCTGTAAGGCTGTTTCTCAGGACCTGATTGTGGGCACAGAGCTGTTGGGCAGGCCAGGGGCATGTCCTTAGTGGAGGCACTTGTGGGGCTATTTCTCAGGTCCTGGGCATGGGCATGTAGCACTCTGCCAGCCCAAGAATGTGTCAGCTGTTCAGTGGCTCTGGGACCCCTCCTACTTCAAGAAGAGTACACAGCAGTTTGGCCAGCTCAAGGGTAGGGTCACCCTAAATGGGACTGCCAGATTGTTCCTCTGGCTAAAAGTGCAGGCATTGGGGATTGGTTTCTCTGCTGGCAGGACCACAATCAAAGCCAATCCTGGGCCCAGGCTCTGCACAGCTCGGGTTGTGGCATAGAGCCACCCATGGGGACTTGGTGGAAGAATGAAGATGAAGTCCCAGTGCTGGAGAGTTGCATGGCTACTGGTCCCTAGAGCAGGGCCCACTCCAGAGGTAGCTCTGGTCTCAAGATGGTGCGATGCTGCTGTAGCTTGGCTCACAGGGGAAGTGAGGGTAGGTGGGAAGTACACACCTTGTGCTCCCGATCCAGAGCAATGCAGCTGCAAGAATTTCCAGCAGCTCCCTAAAATGGGCCCAGGACTAGAAAGTACTCTGAGATTGTCCTGTATAATGACTGTAGGTGTTTCAATGGCAATAGGGCTGGTGGGGTTCTTCTGCTTACCTTGTCTTCACCAGGAGAAGTCCCTCTTGACTCCCAGCTGATCTGGACAGGGGAGACAGGGCTGCAGAGGCAGGATGCCTCCACATTGTCCTCCTGGGCTTCCAGTCGCCACAGGTACCTCTCCATCCTCTCACTGTACTCATGCATTCTCCCATTGACATTCTAGTCAAATCTTAACTGTTTATTTGTTACACTGGTCCTTTCTTATGGGGAAGACTACTTCCAAGTACTTCTAGCCAGCCATCTGGCCAGTCGCCAGGCCCAGAATATACTATATTTATGTACAAGCAAAAATTGCTAATCACTCACTTTTTTTCAGTTCTGTTATTTTTCACAAACTATACTCTTCCATGTCCAAGACAAAATTAGGAATGCCACCTCAGATTGTATTTACTCTTGTGACAAAATTTCAAGGGAACATTGTTTATTGTTTTTGATCCAGACATATGTAGTTATTGAGTATTGTTTCAACCCCTCATCCTGTTTTTTCTCTTAGTGCTGGGCCTTTCTCCATTGAGTTATTTTTTTCATGTCATATTTTTGAGAGCAAATCCAAATGCCATATCATATCTACTATACTCCTCCAGGATTTCTGCTATATCTATATATTCTCCCTTCACCAAACTTAAATATCCAGCTCTGTTGATCCAGTTGAGGTTTCTGCCACACAATTTCTTTCTGGATTTTAGATGTAGTTTCTCCCATGCCAGGAGCCCATTGTTCTAATTTAATAAATCAGTTTCAGAAAATCATTTCAGGCTAAAGCTGAAATGAACATGGCTCCTCTACTCTCATGTTACTCAGGACTTCGAGATCATTGGATCTGTTTCCCACACTTTCTAGGCTTCTTCTGGCCATATCATTGCTTTTCATGTGACCCAAAAAGAGTGCGTAACTATCAGTGTGTAACAAGCTTTGGCAGTTCTCCATCACATATGAGGTGAGACAGGAAATAAGTTAGCCCTGTGTTACCTCTGTTGGCCTCTACTGGAGAGCTCCCCACAAGCTCTCTGCCCTTCCCCACCTGAACTGAAATACTGTGAACCTATGAGTGTCTGAGTCTCCTGAAGAGAGTCACTAATGCTACCTACTTTTTAAAATGCTTTTTTTTAAAGAAATCTTGGATTTATTCTCAAAAGCAAAATGTCCTTATGTTTATAATAACTCTTCTGGCAGAGTTTGTTTTCCTACTTTTTCTCATCTGTTACCTTTTCCATTGAATTTGAGGTCCTATATAGATATGAATTCAGTTAAATTAAAATAATCCTTCAGCAATGTTATTTCTAGTTTGTCTACTACTATTCAATCGCAAATGTAGATGTATTGAGGGTTTCTGTGAACTGCCTGAACCGGGTTCCTGCCTAATTCATTATTGTACCCACTCCTCCATACCTCTTTTCTCAGTGCCTGTCACAGCTATTTGGCATACTCTCCATACCAAGTATATGTTTCTCTAATGTTTGAATGAATGAATGGATGAATGAAGCTTATTTTGACTCAGAAAAAAATATTCTGATGGGTTTGAATGAAAACGTTAGTCTTAGGACAGGCACAGTGGCTCATGCCTATAATCCCAGCACTTTGGGAGGCCAAGGTGGGAAGATGGACCAGCCTGGACATCATAGAGAGACCGAGTCACTACAAGAATATTTTAAAAATTAGCCAAGCATGGTGGCATGCACCTTTCATCCTACCTATTTGGGAGGCTGAGGTGGGAGGATGGCTTAAGCCCAGTAGTTCAAGGCTGCAGTGAGCCATGACTATGCCACTGTACTCCAGACTGAGCAACAGGGTGAGACTTTTGTCTCAAAAAAAAAAAAAAAAGGGGGCAGGGGGGGGATATTAGCTTTAAAAAAAAACACTTAGCCTCAGTTCTCCTTAATCGCTATTGCTTTCTTGCTTTCTCAAATTGATGTGGTTAGGGTAGAATATATGAATAATTTACTCATTCCTGATTAAATATGTGTTTTGCCTAAGGATTTATTTTTAGAAGATTTGAACTACATCATCAATTCAGGAAGAATACCTGACCTGTTTGAAAATGTTGAGCTGGATTCTATTGCGACGAAAATCAGATCTCTTACTGAACAGTCTGGTCATATGGATAATAGGCAATCTTTACTTTCACTCTTTCAAAAGGTACTTTTTTGTGACTTGGCTTTATCAAATTGTCATGTTAAAAGTAGACCATGTTTATAATTCTGTACATGATTTTTAAGTTGGATATAATTTCTTTAGATCTTTATATGAGTTTTTAAGGTAAAATAATGAGTACCCTACCCACAGACAAACCATATCCTTAGGTAGGTCAAAAACTTACATGAATCTGAGCCTGTCTGGCTATCAACGATTTTAAAAAATAATACCAGCAGGAGGCAACCAAATGAAAAATAAAATCCCAAGAGTATTTCTTACACAAAGATTCTTTCTCAGATAATGATGTTCTTATTTCATCTTTTTGGTAACAAGTCTGGAAAGGCAAGAAACAAGAAACATTTCATCCTTTGGAATAGTCCTGGAATTGACCAGGAGGTGATGGATACAAAAAGAAATTGACTGGATACAGCAGGTGCTATTCAGAATGAACTCAGCAGCAGAGGAGCTGTGAACAAACTGGTTTGATGAGAGATATAGATTAGTCAAAATGAACTCAACTTTCTGTGTCTTTGAGACATGATGACTGACCAGTGGCTTAGCGAATATATGGACATGATTACTCAAACTAGAATACTCACTGGGGAAGGACCACAGGTGGATTTATTTCTGGTGCTAGTTTTTGTCTATCATAGGGCAATTTAAAAATTGAATTTGGCCATCCACCATTTCTCACCTTAGTAACAACATTGCTAAGTATCAAACAGATACTTAGTAACCTGTCACAAGAAGATGTTTTAAAAATTCCAAAAATGACTCCACAGTTGATAGAGAACAAGGTAATATGAGTGGATATCCTTAGATTTAGTTAGATTTTTTAATAACATTGTAGAAAGAAGGATAGCATTTATCCTGACAATTGTGGCACTCTTGTGCCTTGTTACTATATTTGGTTTATTCATTAGATTTAAATAATAAGGAAGAAAAAAGAAATTTCAGTTTGGAGTGCAGAGAAGTACTCCAGAAAATGAATAAATAAACCAAGAATCTCAGTTAGAAATCAATTTTAATTATATACATGATATATGTATAATATATATAATACTATGCTTCCAAAACTAATTTGACATGTCCTACAATAATAACAAATAATAAAGGCACACTTTAAACTGCTAACATTTGATATCTCTAGGTAGAAGTTTTGGGAATGTGTAAAACAAAGAGAGGTATTTTCATTTTTACTTTAAACATTTGCACATTGCATGAATTTTGCACTGAGCAGTTTTATTTGCCTTTATAAATTTGTTAAAGACAAAAAAGAGGAAAAAAACTTACCTTTTAGTCTTCTTTCAGCTTTACCGTATTTATTTGACAAAATAAGTTGCTTGATACTTAATATTTTGTACAGTTAGACTCTGAGTTAAAAGGAACACTAACTCACTGAGGCTGTTTTCAGTAATGCGGACTTATTGCAAAGTGATATCTGGAAATAAGGAAGAAGGAATCTGTGCCCTGTTGCCAGTCTTGCCAAGAATCCAGCAACAGCAGCAGCATAGCCAGGTCTTATAAGGAAAAGGGCTGAAGGCAAATTGCAAAGAAACTAGCACTTAGCCTAGGGCCTGTAAAACTGTGTAGGTCTCATAATGCTTAGCTGTAATCCTTTAGCTGTAGGAGTTTTATTACTACCTCTGGTGCTCTACTCTTATTGTCAGGTTGTTTCTTTCAGCTCTAATTCATCTGACCATTTTCTCACTTTGAGTTTCTGTGGGTCTTAAATGCACACCACTCCAGAGGAAAGAGTTAAATAGTCAGACCCAGCACCATCTGATATAAAGTCCCCTACTGAACAGAACTCTAGCACCAGCCCCTGTCATAAGAGTTGGTTTATGCAAGGGGTGTTCTGGGTCCAGTGCCTCCCCTACTGTTAGTTTCCCTGGGAAGGGCTCTGTTTATGGCAGGCACTCCATGCACAAATGATCAGTCTCTGGTCTACCCACGAAGGAAAGATCTGAGACATGTTTTCCATGAAATGTTTAATGTAATATTTTTTCAAAACAGTGTATTATATTTTAACAATTTATATTTTCATTAATTTTCAGAGAATATATAAAAATCTTCATATTTTTGTGATCATGAGTCCTGAAGGACCTAGCTTCCGCCAAAATTGTAGAGTATATCCTTCTATGATTAGCTCCTGCACGATCGATTGGTACGAGAGGTGGCCAGAAGAAGCTCTCCTTATTGTAGCTAACTCATTCTTAAAAGAAAAAGTCAATTTTGAGAACAGAGAGGTAAATATTTAATACAAGTGAAGGTTTCAGTTTATTGACAGCATCTGATGGTATTATGCCTCTGCCTAGATGGACAAAAACAGGCAGTTCTAAGCCAGTTTATAATAAAATGGATCAAGTGTTTACATTGATTCCCTATTAATTCCCCATCTCTTGTACCCCTGAATTCACCCTATTTCAAAGATGCCCAGATTCAGATTCTGCAATGCCTGGGTCTCTTCACTATGCTGTCCACATGGTGGAACAGCAGATTTCTATGAAGGAAAACAGTCTCCATTCTGCATACCAGATTCTATGGTAAGGATGCTGCAACCTTCTGTGTATTCCTTGTAAATTGTTCTGGCTTGGCTACAACAGCAAGTCAGCAAAGCAGTGACAGCACAAGCCACAACACAAAATTAACTCAGAATTTATGAGCCAACAGTAAGAAAGAACCTATTCTGGAGTGACTAAACTGAAGATCCCATAAGACCTAGCTGACAGCAAAGGGGGTAAGAAGTGTTGACCAAAGGAGCTGTAAATGCATAGAGAACTGAAATTCAACGTAGGACATTTCTAGGTCCTATGGGACCAATGGGATTGCATCCTTACTTGTCTAAGTGATCAAGGAAAGCAAAGGCCAAGGAGGACAGAGACGGGGTAGAACCAGAAGAAAAAAAAATGCAGCTGAGTTAAAAGTGACCAGTGACTGGTTAGACTTGGACTGGAGATGAGTCATCGGGACTAGCTTATGTCTAAATCAGAATTATCTCCCAATCCAGGCAAAGAGAATATTCTTCGCAGTCTGGTTTTGCTCATCTGCACATCCTTTGGGTCCTTGCATTTTTGTAGCTTTATTTTACTCAAGGAAATTTCCTTGAGTATCCTGCTATTGATAACCACTTTAAGAAAGAAATATAAAAGATAAAGAAGGCTGGGCATGGTGACTCACACCTATAATCCCAGCATTTTGGGAGGCAAGGCAGGAGGATTGGTTGAGGTCAGGAGTTCAAGACCAGCCTGGGCAACATGGTGAAACTCTGTTTCTACAAAAAATTTAGAAAATTAGCCAGTTGTGGTGGCACACATCTGTAGTCCCAGTTACATGGGAGGATGAGGCAGGAGGATCTCTTGAGCCCAAGAGTTTGAGGCTATAGTGAACTATTATTACAACACTGTACTTTGGCCTGGGCAAAAAAGCAAGACCTAGTCTCAAAATAAAAAATAAATAAAAAATGTTAAGACAAAGAAAACATTATAACCCTTGGCCATTGATACCAATGCCCTAAATCTTTGGATGACTATAGTAAAAGTGAGAGTAATGTAGGGGTAAAGCCTAGAAGGATGAGTGTGGCATGCCATTCATAGTTAGCTCTACTGTTGCCCCACCACCATCCCAACAATTAAAACTCATATTTTCGGCCGGGCACGGTGGCTCAAGCCTGTAATCCCAGCACTTTGGGAGGCCAAGATGGGAGGATCATGAGATCAGGAGATCGAGACAATCCTGGCTAACACGGTGAAACCCTGTCTCTACTAAAAAAAAAATACAAAAACCTAGCCAGGGGAGGTGGCGGGCGCCTGTAGTCCCAGCTACTCGGGAGGCTGAGGCAGGAGAATGGCGTAAACCCGGGAGGCGGAGCTTGCAGTGAGCTGAGATCCGGCCACTGCACTCCAGCCTGGGCGACAAAGCGAGACTCTGTCTCAACAACAAAAAAAAAAACTCATATTTTCTTTGTCCTGCTCATCCAGGAGCTCCCTCTTCATCTCCAGATCTCAGAAATAATAAGCTATTTTAATTAATTCCAAGTGTTCAACTTTCTCTTTTTATGTATATTTGGATTGCTTTCTCTTAATTCTTAAAAATTATTATTCTTCAGAACTTGAAAGAAAAACTTGCCCCAACCTGTGTCCAAATCCACAAAAGCATGAAAGACTTGAACAGAAAATACTTTGAAGAAACTGGAAGATTTTATTATACCACTCCCAGTAGCTACTTGCAATTTATGGAAACATTTGCACACATTTTGAGGGCACGAGAGGAAGAGATGCAAACAAAGAGGTAAGACTTTGAGAACAAATCAGAAATATATTTTATATTGGTGTTTTTGTTTGCGAAAAGAGACACAAATGCAAAATGGTGAGCCAAATCTGCCTTTTTGGTGGGACAAAAAGCCAGAAGCTGCAGAAGATCTTAAAGGAGATAAGGTTGATATTCCCCCTGTGTGCCCTGTGTGCCTTCAAAGGCTGCCCCTGTCAAGGCAAGGCTGACAGACTTGGCCAGTAAATAAACAATTAGTCCCTGTTGCATTCCGACAGTTTATTTCTTACATGGGCAATGAAAGCAAGAGTAACTAACAGTACCAGTCCCCATGTCCTTTGTCTCATGGGATGACAGCAAAATAAAAGGCTTCAGATGACTACAACACCGATAGTGGAACACCTGCTAAGCAGTTTTATAGCCAGCATTAGTACCAGAGGAGGCATGGGAAGAAACATGAAGCAGCAGACCTCACTACTAATCAGAATACAGGAGACATTGGAAAACTGTCTTATGACAATCTTCCAGGAAGATGGGGAAATTAGTAGGAAATGGCCTTGTAGCATCTACTCACAAGCGCCCCACATTTTTGTGTTCCAGAAAGATCAGGGGTGTCCTGCCAACACTTAGATCAACTGCAGCCAAGCCTTGTCTATATAACCTATATGGAGACATGAAAGGCTGCTGAGGCACCATGGTGGAACTATTCCCCTCCAAGTCCATCTCCTAAACTTTTCATGTATCTAGCTAATAATTCTTTTTTTAAAATAGCCCACTCCGTCAGATACCCTAACTAATTACTCTGATTGGGGCCTGGGCCAGATTCATTCCATTTGCCATAGGGAACACTGTATGAGAGTGATCATGACTGTGACTCTCACTTGGAGGATAGACCACAGCCAAGCTCCCTGTCTGGAGCTAAGCCAGTTAAAAATGTTATTAATCCAAGTGCATCAAGAGGTATTGGCCATTGCACATTCTCTGTCTCAACTAGCCAGCAGGAAGTCCAGTGCAATGTGATTTTTCATCAGCGCTCGTGCTGGAGAGTGTGAACTAATTTGTGTGCCGCAGGTAAGTATAGGCCTGACATTTACATAAGAAGTAGCAACCTCAATAGCAGCTTTTTGCTAATGTGGGGTCGGGGTCTAATTTTATTAAGTTATTGTTAACAAGGTCAGGTAGGGCATGCCAATAACAGTTCATTTTAGAGCAGTTGAGGTAGTCTGTGAATATAATAATGAGGCTAAAGAGAATCACATCAGTGCTCAGAAAGCTCATCTTGTTCCGTTTCAAGGAAAAGTTGTTCACTCCTGGGATCAGCAGATCCTAAGAGGTTTCTGAGAGTCCTTAGATTAAGATTTTTGTTGGTCAGCAGTTAAATTAAGGATAATGTCAACGGTCTGAGAAAATTGGCCAGATGCCTTACAGGCGAGAGTCAAGAGAGTTTAATGAACCTTCCTCTCACTCCTAACCTCCTGGGGTCTAAGGTGTCCCCTCCCCATCACCCAGGGTTGTAGCTCTCCATTCACAGCTGTGTAATCAGTATGACCAGTCCCTATCACAGTCATTCACCCCTTTTCCAGTCCTCTTCATGTCTTACCCACAACACAACTCTAGATCACTCAGCAGTTTCTTCCATACGTACCTTGTACTATCCTAGGACATCTTCCACCCCCTAATGCGTGGGCCATGCAAGGACAGTCTTAAGAGCTATCACCTTATATGCATAATCATTATTATCAACATCCATAAGTGGTTATATCCAGCAAGCATATCTCGGTGGCAAAAGACAGGTTATAGTCTCCCACTGCTCAACTCTTCTTTGCTACTTGGAAATTTCAGTAGTCCAGTTTCCCAGGGGTAGATGTTGGGGGAGAAAAAGCGAGAAGAGTTAATTATATGGTTCGGGTCTCTTACAGCCTATCTGGTCCTCTTTCCCACCCCAAAACTTACAATTAAATATTCTGTTTAAATGAAAGGTACCCTTATGGAGAATTAGTACATTTAAAGCCCAATTTGCCTGTCTTAAGTGTGCTCCAGTGGGAGCTGAGCCTCAGATGCCCAGTTCTCATTATTAGTTTTTTCTTTGAGTCCATTTTATTTTTAACAGCATCTGTTCTTCATCAAGTTGAGAAATTTCCCCTCTTTTCCTAGTCATCATTAATTTTATCAAATATTTTTTCTGCATCAATGGATGCTGATGCAGCAGTGAATTTTCTTCTTTATAGCTTGTTAATATAGTGGATTATATTGATTGACTTTCAAATAGTGAGCCAGTCTTGCATCTCTAGAATAAACTCCATTTGGCCATAATTTGAGTAATTCTTTTTATATATTATCAAATTGTATTTGCCAAATTGTGTTATATCTTACACCTTCTTAATACTTTTTCTTCTTCAGGGATCGCTTCCATATGGGTCTATCCACAATCCTGGAAGCAACCACACTAGTTACAGAAATGCAGGAAGAGCTCTTGATTCTTGGCCCTCAAGTAGAACAAAAAACAAAGGTATGTTTGCTTTGAAATCTCTTTTAAAGATTTTATAGTCTAATATAGAACAGTGTTTGAAAGCAAAGGCTCTGATACCTGACAAAGATAGGCTAGAACTCCAGCTTTGTTACCCTTTAGTTGTATACATATGAAAGAAATAACTTGTTTTTTTGTCTCAATTTATCTGTAAAATGAGAACAAAAAAGCAGTAACAGCAAAATAGTAACATTATTACATTTTGATAATTAAGGGTAATAGGTATATAGCTAACTGTAGAAGCTTATGTAGAAAGATTCCCTAGTCAGTAAGTTAAACCCATCTGAAATATGCTGTGATAACTTGCAGTCTATCAACTATTCTAAAAACCATCATTCATCATCACTCTTTGTGTGTAATGCATGAAATATTTACCGTAGTCATCCTAGGCAATATCCCAATGGCAGACCAATGGAAGAGAGCACCAATGGCAGAGAGCTACCATCAAGCATGGTGGATGACAGAGCTTCTAAGAGGGGGCGCAGCTGAGAGCTGGCCAAATGGTGAGAGCTCTTGCTCTCTCCATTTTATTTGTCTCTTGCTCTCTCTCTCATTTTATGCATCTATTAAATATATTTCAGGCTGATTTTAATAAACTTTACCATAGTGAAATGAGATATTTGAATTACTCTTTTAGAAAAGAGATCACGTCTCTTAAAATTCATTCTAAGAACAATTATGTGCTTCATTAGGAAACAGAAACTCTAATGGAAAAACTACGGAAAGATTCACAAGTAGTTGAGAAAGTTCAGATGCTTGTTAAACAGGATGAAGAAATTGTGGCAGAAGAAGTAAGAATTGTGGAAGATTATGCTCAGGTAAAATTAAAATATAGTCAATACAAATAATTTGGAGATTTGAAAAAGTATTCCCTAACCTTCAAGTTTAAAAGTCAGACTGACTGGTCTTAAATATATAGTGCCTCAACTGTGGTTACTTTTCACTGTAATTCCAACAACTATTTATTGAGTCCCTACTACACACAGGATAACATTAAATGAAAATATGAAGTCCAAACATGCGTGTTCCCTGTCCTTGAGGAACCCACAATCTCAGGACGCTTTTCTTATTACAATGAACAGAAACTCATGCAGGCCATACCAAAAGTACATTTGGCCTTCAAGTGTAACATTTGCAAGAAACAAGGCAGCTCAAGAGACTGGGTATTTGGTGTGTGTCACTTCTGTTGCTGACTGAATAATTCTCTCTTTTTAAATTGATCATTCTCCTCCATACACTCCAGTCAGGATCTCAGCAGGAGCCAGTGTGGTTTAGCAAATCACTGAATGCTCAACTCTGGTCTGATCAGCAGCTGTTCCTGCTCAGAGCAAGTCGAGAGTAGAGCTTGTCTTCCGTGTACAAAGGTTTTTAATCAAGCAATTCCATCAATTAAAATACATATGTGAGCCTATACTCTAGTATGTGTGTGAATTATTTATAGATAAATTATATCCATGGGCTACCACCATTAGCTAATAGCCCAAAGCTCAACAAATATCTAGGGCAAGGTTTATTATGAATAACAGTGAATATACATACAGATTGCAAATAGTCCTTTCGGTCATTTCAAAATTTTCTTGTTGGTCTCTTGTCATACCTGATTAGCTCATCATTGCTTTTTACCTTGTAACGTGGTTGAAGAAAAATTTATATCAAGAATAAAAGAAGTGTCAGCCTGCCTTTTGCTTGTTGTTCACTTGTGCTTCCACTGTTAGCATTGCCTTCAATCCAGTGTTTCTTTCAGACATCTTTTTAAGCTACCTGCCCATGTTTTAGGAGCTAGGTTACAGAATAGGCAAACTAGATTACAGAATAGACAAATCCCTCACTTGGACACAAGTAAGCTGCAAGGCTTCCTAGCATCCTGAGTATTAAGCAAATAGGGGAGGCCCCACTCCTGAGCCTTCTCAGATGGGGAGCTTCCCCTCTTCCATTAAGATGCCACCTGTCTCACTGAGTGATCCAGAACTTCTGTGATGCCAACCACCTGAAGGTGCCACTGTTGATCAATATATTAAATATGAGTACGGGGCCAAGCGGGGTGGCTCATGCCTGTAATCTCAGCACTTTGGGAGGCCGAGGCAGGCAGATCACGAGGTCAGGAGATCAAGACCATCCTGGCCAACATGGTGAAACCCCGTCTCTACTAAAAATACAAAAATTAGCTGAGTGTGGTGGTGCACGCCTGTAATCCCAGCTACTCGGAAGGCTGAGGCAGGAGAATTGCTTGAACCTAGGAAGCAGAGATTGCAGTAAGCCAAGATCACACCACTGCACTCCAGCCTGGTGAGAGCAAGACTCTGTCTAAATAAATAAATAAATAAATAAATAAATAAATAAATAAGAGTATGGCTTAATTTCAGTATTTAATATTTTATGCCAAATAAAAATTAGTATAGAGAAATTCATGGGGTTCGTTGTTGGTTTTTGTTTTGCTTTGTTTTGTTTTGTTTTTTGCCATACCACAAAGGGTAATCTTTTTTTCTCCCTGGCTTCGGCACAAAGCCAGATACATTAGGGCCTGGGGCCATATTTTTTAAAAGAATACAAAATTACTAGTACACAATTAGGTATGAAAGTAAATATGTACTTAGAATAAGTAAAGAAATCACAGCAAGATATAAAATTTTTAAAGCTGACAATTATCACAAACATCACAAAATCTAGAAAATTACCTCACACACTCCTATAATACTTTGTTTAAATTTTTTATTATACTTTTAAGTTCTGGGATACATGTGCAGAATGTGCAAGTTTGTTACCTAGGTATATATGTGCCATGGTTTGCTGCACCCATTAACATGTCATCCATATTAGGCATTTCTCTTAATGCTATCCCTCCCCTCGCCCCTCACCCCGCAACAGGCCCCAGTGTGTGATGTCTCCTCCCTGTGCCCATATGTTCTCTTTGTTCAGCTCCCACTTATGAGTAAGAATATGTGGTGTTTGGTTTTCTGTTCTTGTGTTAGTTTGCAGAGAGTGATGGTTTCCAGCTTTATCCATGTCCCTGCAAAGGACATGAACTCATCCTTTTTATGGCTGCATGGTATTCCATGGTGTATATGTGCCACATTTTCTTTATCCAGTCTATCACTGATGGGCATTTGGGTTGGTTCCAAGTCTTTGCTATTGTGAATACTCCCGCAATAAACATACGTGTGCATGTGTCTTTATAGTAGAATGATTTATAATCCTTTCCATATATACCCAGTAATGGGATTGCTGAGTCAAATGGTATTTCTGGTTCTAGATCTTTGAGAAATCGCCACACTGTCTTCCACAATGGTTGAACTAATTTACATTCCCACCAACAGTGTAAAAGTGTTCCTATTTCTCCACATCCTCTCCAGCATCTATTATTTCCTGACTTATTAATGATCACCATTCTAACTGGCATGAGATGGTATCTCATTGTGGTTTTGATTTGCATTTCTCTAATGACCGGTGATGATGAGCTTTTTTTTCATATGTTTGTTGACCACATAAATGTCTTCTTTTGAAAAGTGTCTGTTCATATCCTTTGCCCACTTTTTGATGAGGTCGTTTGTTTTTTTCTTGTACATTTCTTTAAGTTCCTTCCAGATTCTGGATATTAGCTCTTTGTCAAATGGATAGATTGCAAAAATTTTCCCCATTCTGTAGGTTGCCTGTTCACTCTGATGATTGTTTCTTTTGCTGTGCAGAAGCTCTTTAATTAGATCCCATTTGTCAATTTTGGCTTTTGTTGCAATCGCTTTTGGTGTTTTAGTCATGAAGTCTTTGCCCATGCCTATGTCCTGAATGGTATTGCCTAGGTTTTCTTCTAGGATTTTTATGGTTTTGGGTCTTATATTTAAATCTTTAATCCATCTTGAGTTAATTTTTGTATAAAGTGTAAGGAAGGGATCCAGTTTGTTTTCTGCATATAGCTAGCCAATTTTCCCAACATTATTAAATAGGGAAACCTTTCCCCATTGCTGGTTTTGTCCAGTTTGTCAAAGATCAGATAGTTGTAGACGTGTAGGGTTATTTCTGAGGCCTCTGTTCTGTTCCATTGGTCTGTATATCTGTTTTGGTACCAGTATCATGCTGTTTTGGTTACTGTAGCCTTGTAGTATACTTTGAAGTCAGGTAGCATGATGCCTCTAGCTTTGTTCTTTTTGCTTAGGATTGTCTTGTATATACAGGCTCTTTTTGGTTCCATATGAAATTTAAAGTAGTTTTTTCTAATTCTGTGAAAAAAAAGTCAATGGTAACTTAATGGGAATAGCATTGAATGTATAAATTACTTTGAGCAGTATGGCCATTTTCATGACAGTGATTCTTCCTATCCATGAGCATGGAATGTTTTTCCATTTGTTTGTGTCCTCTCTTATTTCCTTGAGCTGCGGTTAGTAGTTCTCCTTGAAGAGGTCCTTCACATCCCTTGTAAGTTGTATTCCTAGGTATTTTACTCTCTTTGTAGCAATTGTGAATGGGAATTTGCTCATGATTTGGCTCTCTGTTTGTCTATTATTGGTATATACGAATGCTTGTGATTTTTGCACATCAATTTTGTATCCTGAGACTTTGCTGAAATTGCTTATCAGCTTAAGGAGTTTTGGGGCTGAGACGATGGGGTATTCTAAATGTCATCTGCAAACAGATACAATTTGACTTCCTCTCTTCCTATTTGAATACATTTTATTTATTTCTCTCGCCTGATTACGCTGGGCAGAACTTCCAGTATTATATCGAATAGGAGTGGTGAGCGAGGGCATCCTTGTCTTGTGCTGGTTTTCAAAGGGAATGCTTCCAGCTTTTGCCCATTCAGTATGATATTGGCTGTAGGTTTGTCATAAATATCTCTTATTATTTTGAGGTATGTTCCATCAATACCTAGTTTATTCAGTGTTTTTAACATGAAGGGGTGTTGAATTTTATCAAAGGCCTTTTCTGCGTATAATGAGATAATCATATGGTTTTTGTTATTGGTTCTGTTAATGTGATGGATTACGTTTATTGATTTGCATGTGTTCAACCAACCTTGCATCCAGGGATGAAGCTGACTTCATCATGGTGGATAAGCTTTTTAATGTGCTGCTGGATTTGGTTTGCCAGTATTTTTTTGAGGATTTTCACATCAATGTTCATCAGGGATATTGGCCTGAGATTTTCTTTTTTTGTGGTGTCTTTGCCAGGTTTTGGTATCAGGATGATGCTGGCCTCATAAAATGAGTTAGGGAGGAATCCCTCTTTTTCTATTGTTTGAAGTAGTTTCAGAAGGAATGGTACCAGTTCCTCTTTGTACCTCTGTAGAATTCGGCTGTTAATCTGTCTGGTCCTGGGCTATTTTTTTGGTTGGTAAGCTATTAATTACTCCCTCAATTTCAGAACTTGCTATTGGTCTATTCAGGGATTCAACTTCTTCCTGGTTTAGTCTTGGGAAGATGTACGTGTCCAGGAATTTATCCATTTCTTCTAGATTTTCTAGTTTATTTGTGTAGAGGTGTTTATAGTATTCTCTGATGGTAGTTTATATTTCTGTGGGATGAATGGTGATCTCCCCTTTATCATTTTTTATTGTGTCTCTTTGATTCTTCTGTCTTTTCTTCTTTATTAGTCTGGCTAGTGGTCTATTTTGTTAATCTTTTCAATAACCCAGCTCATGGATTCATAGATGTTTTGAAGGGTTTTTCCTGTCTCTGTATCCTTCAGTTCTGCTCTGATCTTTGTTATTTCTTGCCTTCTGCTAGCTTTTGAATGTGTTTGCTCTTGCTTCTCTAGTTCTTTTAATTGTGATGTCAGGGTGTCAATTTTAGATCTTTCTCGCTTTCTCCTGTGGGCGTTCAGTGCCATA